GTCCACAGCTGCATGGTATACAGTAGACTCCTGCAGAGGTGAGAGGATCCCTCTTGTCCTTTGCTGAATGTAATATTTGTTGGATTTTCTTAGTGGGTCTGTAGATAGTTTGTAGGTTGTGTTTCCTCATCATCTTCCCAATGCGGTCAGTGGTTCCCTTGATGTATGGCAAGAACACTTTTCCTCTGGGTGGATCTTTGTCTTTACTCTTGTGTCTTGCAACTCTTCTGATGTCTGTGGTGGAGTATCCATTGGCCTGTAAAGCCCAGTTTAGGTGGTTCAGTTCATCTTGCAGGAGGTGGGGTTCACAGATTTTTTTGCACAGCCAGGGCTTTAATTGTACTTCTTTGTTTTTGACTTGGGTGATGGTTGGAGTTTTTATGTAGGTATGTATCCATGTGGGTAGGTTTTCTGTAAATTGTGTGACACAATTGTTGATCTGTTTTGCGGATGACTAGGACATCTAGAAATGGCAGTTTTCCTAAAATTTCCTTTTTTCCATGGTAAATTGGATGTTTGAGTGGATTCAAACATAAGAAGACACCCACACAAGCCCTTGTCAATCATGTTGGGACAAGCTATGGAGTGCTCCAGGAAATCAAAATCTGAAATTACAAAGTACCCACTTTATCTTGTGCAAACTCCTTCTGCACACAATGATAAAAAAGTTCCTTTTACAAATGCAGCTAGCTCCCATATGTAGGAGAGTTCCATTAAAATGTTAGACATGCTGAAAAACAATCCTTCCCGATTCTAGTAACTTGTTAGGATAGGGCTATTGTTGATGTTTGCATAATACAGTTAGCACTTGAATCCAAATTCAAAGGATACTTTTGGCATGACCTAAAGCCACATGAACTATTTGTGCTTCCTAAAACCTGCTGTGAAACCACAGGGGCTTTTGGACACACAGACAATTTGCTTGGATTTGTGCCTTAATCTTACCCTCAGTGTGCTTGAGAAGTGCCACTTCTGGTAATCTGCTGTGTTTGTCTTCCAGTATATGAAAACTGTACTAGGTGGGAAAAAGGTAAAGCAGGAAGGGTACTGAACAGTATTACTTTCCAAAGTCTGGTTCTTAAGTTAACTTGATGTTTCATACCTTTGTTTTTCCAGTCAAGGCAGCCTCGCCTTATAACTTGTCTGTGACAGATTTGAACTATCAAGCCTACAAACTGCAATGGAAGGCCACACTCCATCGGAATATTGCACAGATATACCAGATTTTATACTGGAAGACTGAAAACCCATCAGAGGTAGTAAGGAATGGGTTTCTTCCATCTCAGAAACATATCCAGTGTAAAAAAAAAATCACTTTTTGTGACTGCAGCTCCCGGAATGCCCCGGCCAGCCTGGCCTGTGGGAGATTAAGAAGCAACTTTTCTAAGCTCTCACACATACCCATTTCTTTTTCCTTTCTTTTGCCAGGCCAAACATGTCAATGCTAACTTTTCTAAAGACTTTACCTTCACTTCAAAGTTCCTGAACCCAGGCTCAAGTTACACAGCAAAGGTGCGAGCAAAAGTGAATGCACCTAGCTACGATGGCCCCTGGAGTGAGTGGAGCAAGGAATTGCAGTGGACCACGAAGGACAGTAAGCCACAAAGGAACCTTTCTGAATAACTTTTTTTCAATCTCTAGAGAGGAAAAAATATATTGGAAAAGCAACTTTGGGGGGACTAGAATGAGCAGCACCAAGCCCCCATGACCAGCATTTTTGCAGGAATTGCACCTTTGTATCAAGAAGTTACTTCCCTAAGTTTTGCAGGTTTATAAGGTTTCCTTGTACTGCTCAATTTGCTCCCGCTGAGCACTATCAGGTGGCAAATGATACTCTCACAGATTATGCCCTTGTGCCTGCTACTGAAAAGCAAAGAGAAGCTAGAGCTCTGCTCCATGTCACTTACTGTATCTCGGATGTTAAAGTTTCTGAGTTGTTTCTATATAGGTAATGTATGGTATGTTCTCTATTCCAGGCTTCTGGTTACATTTATGCAATGCAGAATTCTGGTTTAGCTTCTACTATGATGATTACTATCACCTCCTCCCCCTTATAGTCACACAGCAGAATCATAGCAGTTTGATGAATCCGAGGCTGGAGTTAAAATTGCTGGAAGAAACATTAACAACCTTAGATATGGAGATGATACCACTTTGATGGCTGAAAATGGGGAGGAGCCTAGGAGCCTTCTGACCTAGGTGAAAGAAGAAAATGCAAAAGCTGGGTTGCAGTTTAACATGAAAAAACAAGATTATGGCAACCAGACTGATCGATAACTGGCAAATAGAGGGAGAAAATGTGGAGGCAGTGACAGATGCAAAGATTAGAAATGCAGTCAGGAAATCAGAAGATCTTTCCTTTTTGGGAGGAGAGCAATGACCAATCTCGATAAAATAGTGAAGAATAGAGACATCACACTGGCATTGAAGATCCACATAGTTAAAGCAATGGTATTCCCCGTACTAACCTATGGATGTGAGAGCTGGACCAGAAACAAGGCTGAGCGAAGGAAAATAGATGCTTTTGTACTGTGGTGCTGGAGGAAAATTCTGAGAGTGCCTTGCACTGCAAGAAGATCAAACCAGGAAATAAAGTTCGACTGCTCATTGGAGGGAAGGATATTAGGGGTAAAGATGAAGTACTTTGGCCACATAATGAGAAGACAGGAAATCTTGGAGAAGACAATGATGCTGTGGAAAATGGAAGGGAAAAGGAAGAGGGGTTGACCAAGGGCAAGATGGATGAAGGTTATCCTTGAAGTGACTGGCTTGACTCTGAAGGAGTTGGGGGTGGCGATGGCCAGCAGGGAGCTCTGGTGTGGGCTGGTCCATGAGGTCACAAAGAGTCAGAAGTGACTGAATGAATAAATAACAACAAAGCTTCCTCAGTTAAAGAGCTCTGGGGAACTGAGGAACACACTAAATGGAGCCATAACAGTTAAAGTGGTGTCAGACTGCTGTCATTCTGCAGTGTGAATGGTTTTCTTCTCTCCATCCCTTTCTTCTCCTTTTTCTGTGTGCATTCTGGTGTACGGCAACCTCAAAGTGAACCTATTATGGAATTTTCTTTGTATGATTGATTCAGAAAGGGTTTCCCTCTGTCTTCTCCTCAGGCTGAGAGTCTGTGACTTGCCCAAGTTCACCCATTGGGTTTCATGACTGAGTGAGCATTTGAACCTTTTCTCTAGAGTCTGCTCAGATCACTACAGCACACAGAAACACATTAGCTGCACTAGTATTCTGGATTGGTTTCTCAAGTTGTTCTCAAAGACAGCCCCACTTATAGTACATTGCACTTAACTGGTCTAAAGGTCTTTAGCCCAGTATCCCACATTTTCTCTATATCTCACCAGTATTTTCATTTTTCAGCCACAGCTATCAAGACTGAGGTGCTGGTAGTTAGAAAAATAGAATCATAGTTTTCAGTCAGTGTGTGATGGTGTCGTCTGCTTGCCTCTGATCCTTCTCCAATCCCCATTGAGTTTCATAGTAGCTGGAATGTGGAACGAGTAAAAATGTGGATTGGATTCTTACAGCAACAATATATTATCTCAGTTTTTATCTGAAACATTTTGTGATAGTTTGAATGGGAAATCAAGACCTATTAGCACTACAAAAATATGCTTAATTTAAAAATAAAGCAGCTGTTAGCTATTCACCTGGTCAATCTTTCCTGAATTTCTATTTCTATTTGCTGTTTTATTCCAGTTTTTCCAACTTGGGGTATTGTACTGATTGGAATCATCTCTATTATTTTAATCATGGTGGTCCTCTACTATTGTTATGAATACCTTCTTAGGTAAGTCTCTGCTGCACATATGGTACATGGGTCCTTTTGTAGAAGGAGTGGGATGGCAATGGAGTGGACAATTTTGTTTCAGTCTGTTTTTGAAGAAGTTGTTCAGTTTGCAAACTTCTTTAAATTTAACATTGAAAGTGCTGGAAAATAATCAACCCAAAAGTGATTAAAATATTCAGGGATTAAAAAAGCCACTCCCTGATATTATCAATAACACCTTGCAAACCTTGGGGAACACTATTGTGCATTTGATTGCATTTTGTGTATTTTTGGTCCACCCTCAATGGCATTTTGGATGCAGACAGGCCTTAATCAAGAGCTAACGTGGTATAATGAGGTTGGACTATGACTCTGGATACCAAAATCTGTGACTGCTTCAATTTTTAATATAAAATGACATAATAAAATAAAATTTGTCCATTATTCATAAAAATCTATTCAAGGTTAGCTTTTTAGAAAGAAATTGGAATATTTTCAGAATATTGATGGTGGAATCCATGGATGTAGAATCCATTGATGCCACAAAATGTGGTTTCCTTTCATGTGTTATTTCATGAGTCTTTCATGTAGAATCATAGAATCATACAATCATAGAGTTGGAAGAGACCTCATAGACCATCCAGTCCAACCTCTGCCAAGAAGCAGGGAAATTGCATTCAAAACACCCCTGACAGATGGCCATCCAGCCTCTGTTTAAAAGACTCCAAAGAAGGAACCTTAACCACATTCTAAGGCAGAGAGTTCCACTGCTGAACAGCTCTTACGGTTAGGAAGTCCTTCCTCATGTTCATGTGGAATCTCTTTTCCTGTAGTTTGAAGCCATTGTTCTGTGTCCTAGTCTCCAGAGCAGGAGAAAACAAGCTTGCTCCCTCCTCCCTATTACTTTCCCTCACATATTTATGCATGGCCATCATGTTTCCTCTCAGCCTTCTCTTCTGCAGGCTAAACATGCCCAGCTCTTTAAGCCACTCCTCTTAGGGCTTGTTCTCCAGACCCTTGATCATTTTAGTCGCCCTCCTCTGGACACCTTCCAGCTTGTCAATATCTCCCTTGAATTGCAGTACCCATTTGTAAAAAATTATAAACATTATTTCCAGTTTGCTTAAGAAAGGGCTGATGCGATGATATTTTACTCTGTGCAATGTATTAATGTTTATTTCATATTTTTTTCAGAAAGAAAAGAAAATGGGAGGCAACTATTCCAAGTCCTCCCAGGACACTTCTGCTCCCAGGCTTTTTTCAGGTAGGAGAGGTTGTCTTTAGATGGGGGTTGTGAGCATCTCTGAATCTGCCTTACACATTCCCTTGGGGTTACATGTTTGAAGTTTTTGCTTCTGATAGGTTTCTCATATAGCTAATAAGTGAATGAACCATTTCTTCTGTGATACTTCTGCACTACCTATTTGACCTTTGTAAAAGAGTATAGCAGAGCCTGCCCTGCACAGCGCCCTAGTTGTTGTAAGCACCAATGAAGCAAATACTGGGAACCAAAAAGAAAGGAAGATGTGGATGAAGAGAATGGTAACCTCACCCCACCTCTCTCTCTCTCTCTCTCTGTATATCTATATAAATAAAAATGTAATGTTAGTTTGTGGGATTAACAGAACTCAAAAACCACTGGACGAATTGCCACCAAATTTGGCAGCAAAACACATTCTAATCTGATCTATGTCTTTCAAACAAAAAAAAAATCCTTAAAAAATGAAGGGGAAATAAGTTAAAACTCCCCCAAAAGAAAAATGCCTTACAGAGCATGCACAAAAGTCCCTCTCCTCATCACATGAGAAGAATGAATCACCAACCGTCATGAGGGAAGAGAAGCCTCGCCATGGAGTCCCTTTCCATGCAGGAAGGCAGAGTCCTTTTTCTTTTGGGGAGGGGAGGGATTGAGGAAAGGAAAGAGGGAAGGAAGGAGAAGGCCTGGCCCAATGGAGGGGTGGGGGCTTGGCGAGGCAAGCCCCGGCAGCAGCTGGAGCCACCGCAGTGGCTCCATGAGGCCCACGTGGCTACCAGGCAACTCTTCCCCCAAGACCAGAGGATTGCAAGGCAAGCCTGACTGCAGGAGTGGCTGCACACCACCCGTTGGGTGAAGGGAGGATGCAAACCATGAGAAGGCCAGCAACTCTCCCACTTGGGCTCCACATCCCCCCTTTCACTCCCCCTCCCAAAAACCCCTTAAAAAACCCTTACAAACTGTCCTGGAGGAAGGAGGGGAAAGAAAGGGAAAGGAGAGAAGAAAGGGGAAAAAAGGATTGGTGAAGAGAAGATAACATTATGAATGGAAGGAAAGGTAGAAGGAAAGAAAGAGGAAGGAAAGGAAAGGGAGGGAGAGGAAAGGAAGGGAAGAGGCAGGAAGAAGGAAGGAGAAGGAAGAAGGAAGGAAGGAAGGAAGGAAGGAAGGAAGGAAGGAAGGAAGGGGGAAACTGGTGAAGGGAAGAGAAGAATATAGAATCAGAGTCCTAGAGTTGGGAAACACCTGGTGGGCCATCCAGGCCAACCCCATTCTATGAAGAAGCAGGAAAATCACAATCAAAGCACCCCCAACAGATGGCTACTAGCCTCTATTTCAAAGAGGCTTTTTGAGTGTTTTGGCTAGCATGAATATAACTGAAAAGCCTTGCAGCTTCAGTGGCTGCTTCTCATTACTTTATTTTCCATACCACCTTGCACCTTAACAGCCTGGCTTCTACTAGCTAGTGGGAGGAGTTCCCTAGCCCAGATTGCTTCATGTCTGCAAATTCTCTGTTTTCTGAAGGCCACAGTAACGCGTGGCCGAGTACAGCTAGTATATAATATTTTCCTATTTATAAATAGAGACATGCAATATTTGATGTATTTTGGCATAAAAGGTTATCTATGAATTGGTATAATGAAACATATTGCCAAGAAATTAAAGTAATCTCTTGGAAAGGTCTCAGTGAAACAATCTCTTATCTTAGTTACATTACTATGACTAAAGTCACACTCTTTTAGCTCAGAGGAAGACAAAGGTCATTCTAAACTAATCTTTTTGATAAAGCACTATGTTTGGTTTGACTTAAAGTTATCATAAATGAAAAACAATTCAATGGAAACGGCAACAATAGGGAAATATCCCGAACAGCTTTGCCAAGTTGTCTAGTGGATCCCTAGATAATAAATCCTAGACTTGGCATCTATATGGTGACTGCACTTTATGTTATACCAGCTTCAAATAGGATTCTAGCCATGAGTATCTGGAGATTTGGAGACAGTCTTTTTGTTGCCATGTCACTTGAAAATGACATGATCACACCAGTCAACAAATCTGAGGTATCATGAAAGTGCAGGAAATTGTTCACTATTAACTTTATTGCCTATCAGGAAGAAAGCACTTACATAATTTTCTCCACGGGGCCCAAAATATTAGAAACTATATAGCTTACCTTGGTTGAAGATAGATGCATTATCCTTTCTACTCCACTCCAGGCAGCAAAATGGTTTTTGATTGGCTCTTTACTTTAAAGCTAAGCAGCTGTGAAGCTCCTTTATCCTCCCAATCAATGGTAATGATAAATGAAGCTTCCAGTTCATGGCATTTATGCTGGTTTATTTTGGAAATTAATTTGCATGACACTTTTAGGGCAATTATTTCTGAAGTAAACATTTCCCAACCTGAAGTTCCTAGAAGTTGTTGCACTGAACTTATCATAATAGTCAATGGTTAAAGCTGATGGGAGTTGTCTTCCAATATTTGGGGACCCAAAATTGAAAAGGTTGTAAAAAAGTATATTGATGTACAAGCATGAATGGGCAAAGCATGGTCTTCCAGATGTTGTTGGACTGTAACTCCTTGGATTTCTTAAATTGGGTATCTTGGATAGGGTGGATGGAAACTGGAATCCAACAGCATTTTTCCAAACCCTACAAAAAGGTAGGAAGAAGTCTCTGATATACTGGTGACAATGCAAGTACAGAAATGTCACCAGGCTGTTTGCAGAAGAGTGATGCAAAAGGCTCCCAAGAGACATATTGGTCTCAAATAAGTACTAAAGAAGAGGCACTGGCATTCTTGTACTATAGATTTGGCCAGGGCTGGAATGGAGGACATGGAGAAACATTATTTACACTAGAACCAGTTGTGACAGGTCCAGTTTAAAAGTATGTTAGTTGACGCACAATGGTTGACATCCTATTACAACTTTGTAAAAAAAAAAACCTCCTTCTATATCTGGAAGGTCGGGTGAAGCTGCTGCTGCTCCTTCTTAGCAGGAAAGGTGGAGAAGGAAATTCAAACCAGGAAGATCTGATGGGTCTGAGCTTCTGGGGAAAGGGAAAAGGTCATTCTCCTTTCTTTCCTTCTGACCAAGCTGAAACCATTTACTAATCCCACAGATGGCATTCTCTTCCTGGTAGCCTTAGGCAAGATTTGGATAGATAGTTTAGCCAAGGGACTGAAGAGAAAAAGTGAACAGCACCCTAAATCAACATAGTTAACAACCTGGGTCAATAAAGGGAGGAAAGCTTTTATTGACATATCCAAGGTGGCATCACTTTTCTTTACTTTGCCTACCGTATCCTATGATAACCTCCATCTGCTGAGTTTCTAGCACCCTGCAAGAACAAACATCAGCAGAACAGCAGGCTAGATCATGTAATTTCTATCATGTATCTATCCATAGCACTACTTTCAGAACCCATTTCTGCATGTGGTTTGAGGCTAACCTCAGATTATCAAGAATCAATTTGGTCTGGGGAAGGGAGGCCTTTGATCCTATAAATCAGGAATGATGGAAGTTGCACTCTGGAAAGCTTCACATTCCCCACCACTTCTCTAAATTCTTTCCAGGATTTGTGCATCATGTACACCTCATTTCTCCATCTGTTTATGCCCAGCCCAGTTCTTTAAATGCTTCTATAACATTCAAGAAAAAACTTGTAAAAATGACGAACCCTGAGGGAAAATGAGATAAAAGCAGCTGAGGAAATAGGTTAAGGCATGACCAGATCTGCTTAGCTGGAAATGGAATCAGAGATAATTTTGGTGACTTTATTTCCTCCTACCTAGTGCAGCAGTCTCTTAATAGACATGCTTGTGAATGTGTTCCAGACAAGTTAATGATGCAAAAGAGAGGATCTGAATATTTGTGAGGTCAGTTGCATGTAGGCATCAAGCCAGCACATGGTTTCCCAAGAACCATCCTGAATTCCTGCCATATGTGAACATTACTTTTTGATGGCTGGATGGACACATTGACAGATGAGCATATATGTAGGAGAGTTTAATTTGAATTCAATGAGTTGACTCTTTTGTTCTGGCTCTTTATTCCACCTCTCCTTGACACCTCACCTTGTTTCTTTTCAGAAAGTAGAATTACCAGATAACTTGGAAGACCATAGTACACAGAGCTCTTCAGCATTGCAAGGGTTCGACTATACCAAGATCTTAGAAAGGTGAGCATGTAAAGCTGAGACATTTACTCTGTCTAAAGCGCTGCTTTTTAAACTGCGGGTATGGACCCCAAAGACGGTCACTTTAGCTCAAAGTTTTCTGAATGTCTTATCGTGGCTGTTTTAGATATTTACACAGATCTGTTGTGTACAGCTTACAGTGGACTTCGCAGAATATGCTTCAGCTGTACTTCATAAAAAGAAAAATCAGTCTGTTTAACAATCCTCACAAATGCTGATTTCTTATAGTAACTGTTTGCTTTTTATAACTATTTTATATACATTTATATAAGAGGTCTTGTAAAAATTTCCCATGCTGAAAGCAGTTGCAAGTGGACACGTTTAAGAAGCTCTGGTATAAAGTACTATTAAAGTGGGAATATAAGGAACATTTGCAAATGTTGTCCCCCACAGCCATGGCAGCCCCTCAAACTGTAGTTCTATACAGACTTTTGTGCAGATTTCTGGGGTAAGAGGCTCAATTGAGTGTCATGGGAATGACCGAATAGACATTTTAAAAACACATTTTAACAAACCTGCCCCATAACTGGGTCAAATCAAGGATTGATGCTGAGGAGTTAAGTAATCCATGCACTTGTCTAATTTTGATAGATGAGTTTCAGTTCAACCTGATGTGATAAGGAAAAGTTTTTGGAGATGTGACTCCAACCAGTTGTTCACTAGACCTATAAATCTAGAGCTGGCAGAAGAGGGCAGGAAAATTAGATGGTGAATGCCATTTTCCAACTCCAGCAAGACAAGTTGAAAGGTCTTTGATGTAGAGAACATCACTATAAGGCTCCTTAGGACCTCTTCCCACAAACGGATGTGTGTGTGTGTGTGTAATAATCTTCTTTGCATGGCATTCTGTGGTGTTCCATCTTTAAAGAAGCTGGAGAATTTACTCACCTCCATCACATAAGATCCCCTTTGCCCTTTTCTAGCTAAACTCTGTGATTCTTTCCTCACTACATGAGTGGCTTTTCCCTCCTCCCATTCGGTTCCCCTAATATAAATTCTTGAAAATTGTGCAATTGCAGGAGTGCAAAACAAGAAATTATCAATAATTCAAAATTTCAGGTGTTCAAAATTGTGCAGTGACATCAATAAAAGCGTTTTAAAAATCTATTCCTGATATCCACCTGCCTGGATAAATCCACCACTTCCCATCCCAAGGAAAAATATGTTTTAAAGCATTTCTATGTGCAGGGAGACAAGTGGAGTTGATGCCTGTCTTTCAAATCCTCCCATTTCTACATTCCCATAGAATCCCATTGGATTCTGTTTTTGAAGTATATAGAAATTAAGGAAAACCTCTGCTTGATGCAGTCCTTAGATAACTATTGAATCTAGGATCTTCTATAGGCAAACCATGTTATCTATCACCAATTTTATTTTTGTGAATGTTTGTATTTGTAAAAACTTCTGCTGGTATGTGCAATTTTTGAAAGAATTTTTAAACTTGATTTATTTATGTGCATAATCTCCCCTCCTTTAAAATTATGATCATATTTATCCTGTACTGATGAGTGTGAATTTTCACATACAAGTGTGCTCCAGATCACTTATGGTTTCTGAAAGTCCACAATTGAGAAGTTTGTACAGAAATGCAGACTTTAGAGGTCTCCATAAACTGCTTTTACCCACATAGGTCTCTTGAAGATCTCTTTTATCTTGGCATTCTCTCAAGGAAACACACTTTTCCAAAGATCATCCTTTTTGCCTTCATTTTTGACCTCATCGTCTTAAAGTATTCAGTTTGACAATCTCTGTATTGGCTGACATTGTATCATTTATTTCTCTGCCACAGGGAAATGCTGGTGACCCATCCAGAGTCTCTTCCAGTTGAGTCAAGGAAAACAGCACAGCATTCACGTGTCTCTCAAAGTATGGCAGAAATTAAACTTCCAAATGTAAGCAAAGCTGGCCAATTTTTGACTCAAAGTGTTGAAAAGACAGTACTCAGTAGTCACCAGCCTCAGATCTTTGATTATGATGGCCCATACTTACACCTTTCACCAGAATCTTCTGTACGTGATGTTTTACAAGATATGGAAGCTATACCATCAGAAAAAACAGAAATGTCTCTGTCTTTGAAGCATATGGAATTGCCCCATTGCTTGTACCCCCAGAAGCTCCCAGTAGGGAAAGAGAAAGAGGCAGTTCCATTTTTTCTTACGATCAGTGATGGACAGGAGGAAAAGAAGCAGCAACTTCTGAAAAGACAAGAAGTATCTCAAAGGGATATGTATGTGAAAGAAGACAACAAAAATAGGGGTACACAACATCTTCCCGGTACAAACAACTCTGGTCAAGATGGACCATTGGATTACATTACCACTGAAAATTTACCAATAAATGAAGTAGAGGGCTCTTTACATTGGACATCTGTGGTGGCCTCAGAGAAAGAGATGCATAACTGTAGTGGAATGGCCACAGGTGTGCCAGAAACAAGTGCAGATCTCTCAAGCCCAGTGATGGATCAGAAGAAACCAGACAATGTGCTGTCAGCAAAGGAACAAATGCTAGCTATTCCCAAAGCATTTGATGACTATGTGACGAGCCTTCCTGCAATTCCAGGATCTACACTGAAGGAAGGACTTGGTCTTTCCACCGAGGAGCCCAAGCACAACAAGGGATTTTTTATATTCAACCCTGACAACAAGAGCCCTGTTTTCTTAAATCAAGTGGGAGATTACTGCTTCTTTCCTAGCTTCAAGTTCAACAATGAAACCCTCAAGAATCCCAAGAGAACACTGGGGCATGGCTTTTCAGAAATGGGCTCCAAAGTCACAGAACCTCTTGATGATGCCAACTCTGTTGGAAGCAAGCTACAGACAACTATTTCACCTCTGCCAAGACTCGAAGTTTAAACTTCCCTTTCTAGTATGCCATGAAGAGGATAAAAATGTCATCCCTGCCTCAGCTGATCTAGATAAATCCATTAAGCAGATGGATAGCGGGGTAGTAAAACTGGGGTCACAGGACTGAAGCCTCAGATCTTTTTGATGAACAAGGACTTTGATATCATCTGACGCTCCACTTGGACTTCCTACTAAGATTAGTTGGAATTCCCACAGTAGTTCAATGAGAAACCATTTACTAGAAATGGCATATTGTTATAGACTCTCTCTAATGCAATCTAAAATATTTGGTATAGGTATGGGTGGGTGTCTTGGTTAGGCAAGAGCTGTTAGATTTACAAAAGACCAGCTTCTGGTGGAGATAATTGCTAGAAATAGCTTTAACTCAACAGAACTGGCTGCTTGTATGGACAATGTGGGAGTGTTTCTATAGAGATTGCCTTGAAGAAGCCTTGTGCTTCCAAAATTACCCTTATTCTAGTAGGGAGGAGCTGAGGAATCCCTTCCCTTGGTTGATCAACATGGATCAGCAGATTTGGGATTCTGTGTGTTTGTGTTTGCATGTTTGTTTTGGAAAGTAAGAGAAAAAGAGAGAAAGAGAGAAAGAGATTGTGAATGGTATGGATGCATGAGTGATATGAGATGATCAAGCAAAATCCCTCCAAAGTTGTTGGACACCATTTACTGTTTTTTAAACCTAACTTTCTGCATTCCCTTTTCTAACTCACTTCCTTCTCAGCAAGTTTTCAGAATAGATAATTATAGCACTGTAGTTTCAGTTTAAACCATAACAATACTCCATGGAATCCCTGGATTTGCAATTTAGAGAGAAATCTCTATGAGAAAGGTCTATTTCTTCAGCAAACTACAGACCACAGGATTCCACAGGGGAAAGCCATGGCATAGTAGTATAATTGTATACAGACAGCTCCCGAGTTACAAACATTTGACTTACGAATGACTCACAGTTAGGAATGGGAGTGAGACAACAGGAAGTGAGAGAAATCTACCCTGGGGAAGAAAAAATCACTCCTGAAATAGTTATCATGTGGAAAAGGTGTTTCCACTGAAGCTTTCTCATCAACCCTTATTTCCAGAAGAAGCATTTTTTTCAAAATCCTATTATCATAGGGACAGAAAGTGATGCAAAATCTTCTGAAGGAGGACATAAACAGCAGAATAAACACCACAGGGGTGTTCACCCTTCCCTATTCTTTTTACTTAGGTGATACCTCATAGCCTGAGTATGATAGTTCTTCAAGTCTAGTGTCTTGGCAGTAGGTTCATAGGTGGCAGCTGTGGAGCCCTATTCTTGATCCGTATGTTCTCCTGCAGCAAAGATATCAGTTTCCAGGTGGAAGGCAGTCCTGGTCACAGTTGGCCTGATGTGCCTTCCTCTTGGCACATTTCTCCCTTTTGCCCTCCATTTGTACCTCTTCGAATTCTGCAGTACTGCTAGTCACAGCTGACCTCCAGTTAGAGCGCTCAAGGGCCAGGCTTCCCAGTTCTCAGTGTCTATGCCACAGTTTCTAAGGTTGTCTTTAAGCCCATCTTTAAATCTCTTTTCCTGTCCACCAACACTACATTTCCCATTCTTGAGTTGGGAGTAGAGTAACCGCTTTGGGAGACAGTGATCGGGTATTCGAACCACGTGGCTAGTCCAGCAGAGTTGATGGTGTAGGAGCATCGCTTCAATGTGGATGGTCTTTGCTTCTACCAGCATGCTGACATTTGTCCACCTCTCTTCCCAAGAGATTTGCATGATATTTAAGAGGAAATGCTGATGGAATTGTTCCAAGAGTTGAGTGTGATACCTGTAGACAGTCCATGTTTTGCAGGCATATAGCAGGGTTGGGAGGACAATCACTTTATAAACAAGCACCTTGGTCTCTCTACGGATGTCCTCAAACACTCTCTGCTTCATTCAGAAAAATGCTAGACTCACAGAGTTCAGGCGGTGTTGTATTTCAGTGTCAATGTTGACTTTTCTGGAAATGTGCTGCCAAGATAGCGGAAATGGTGAACATTTTCTAATGTTACACCATTAAGCTGTATTTCTGGCATTGCAGATGGATTAGTTGGTGACTGCTGGAAGCTTCCCTATGCTATTCAAAGCTAAAAGATATATATTTGAGTTACACTTTAAAAATGTACGTATACAAATCAATTCAACTTAAGAACCAATCTTGTTCATAACTTGGGGACTGCCTTTAGTGTAAAAGGCACCGCAGTTTTGTTTCTTTTTTTTTTTAAATACTGAACTGGCCTACAATACAAAATACAGCCATGTGCCAGTTTTAAAAAAGACCCCCTGATACCAAATTTCCTTTTAACAAGGTTTTAACATTTTAATGCTTGTGTAGCCCTTTTAATGCTTGTCTGGCCCTCTTTGTCTTCTGTCTAGCTGGACATTTTTAAAGTAGCATTGGTATTCAGAGAACGGTGTAGGTGGACTGGTCAGGTAGAAGTAGCATGTTTGCAACAAACAAAACAGTAACACTTACTCTGGGAAAGAACAAGTATTTCTTTTAGCTAATTGTACTGTAGCTTTGCATTATATGCCCACAAAAGGCAAACTGTAATTACCTCCAAAATCCCTAAATAAGAAGGCATGAAGAACAAAACAGAAAGAAAAAGGGAGAGTACCTTTGCAGCTACTCTCAGAATAATAAATAAGGATAGATATATAGATTTGGCCACTGAAATTGTATTCATAACAAAAGTGGTGGTTGGTGAAAGAAGACCTGAATTTTCAAAGACGTTCCAAAGTGGTCTCTAGAAGGTTCAAAATGCTTTTACTTATTTGACTTACCTGATCTTCTTTTCACATCATGTTGCTTGTTATGAATAAAAAGTTTGCTGAAATATGTTGAACTCCATATTTTGTGATGTAGAAACCTTATAGATCTAAGCTCTTCTCCCTTTTAACATTCAGGAAGGATGTTTCTATATTAAAGTAATATCCAAGAACACACCTACTTCATTAGCTGTGGTATACCTATACTGAAGTTCGGATACTGGCGTCTGTTTTATTGTTTTATTGTTTTGGCTTGTGTGAAGGATAAACTGCCTTGTCATTCTATGATGAAAGGTAGACTATACATAATTTTAGTAATAAATAAGTACCAGATCAAGTTAATCTGGCAAAGGCTACAGTCTAACACACTGAATACCTACAGCATTTTTTCAGTAGAATAAAACATGACAAGTTCCTTTTTGCTCTGATTAAAAAAATATGATACCTAGAATGGCCCTTTGGCAGTAGCTGCCATTATAAATTGCGTTTGAGAAAGGTGTGTTGGGATTACAACTGTTAGGATCCTCCAGCACAGAAGTTAGAGAAATTGTAATCTAAACATCCCGGCTCGGCCAGGAAAACCAGTATTGTCAGTGTTTTTATACTGTATGCTGTACAATCCAAGTGTATCTGGCCTTAAAAATGCGGACACGATTTCTTAACTGTGGGCCTAGATGTTCATAAGATTCTTTTCATTCTGATGGCACATAAACCAGGTGGGCAGTGCTTAAAATGTGATTTTTAGACTACAAGTCCCAGAATCCAAGGGATCCCAGGCATTACAATTAAAAAAAACTTTTCCAAACCATCATGATTAGAATGCATGTTGCAAGTCACTGTGAGAGAATCAGCCATTTACAAAGATGTTGCCTGGGGGATGCCCGGATGTGTTGCAATTCTGTGGGGAGGCTTCTCTCATGTCCTTGGAACCTCAATCCATGGCTGATACCGAATGAGAGGCTCCCTCCTGGGCACACAGAGGACTGGGTGACTTGGAAGCTGCAGAACAGACTGTGTTCTGGCACGACGAGATGCAGAGCCAACCTTAAGAAACGGGGCCACAAAGTGGAGTCTACAACATGCGAATGTGGAGAAGAGCAAACCGCAGACCACCTATTACAATGCAGTCTGAGCTCTGCCACATGCACAATGGAGGACCTTCTTACTGCAACACCAGAGGCACTCCACGTGGCCAGCTACTGGTCAAAGGACATTTAGTGTAATGTCAAGTTTTTTAAACTTTGTGTTTTTTAAATACATTACAACTGTACCCTCGGTTCACTTCTGATACAATAAATATATGTCATATATCATCTTGATTAATTCAAGATGATATATGACAGTGCTCCAAAGTCATCAGCAGCACTCTATACTGATAATCTATTGAAAAAACATGTTGGCTGATGGATTCCACTATAGGTTTTATTCCAAAGGATCTATCCAAGGCTCTGAATTTGGCTCAGCACCTTGGAAAGCTACAAACCTCAAACACATAGACTGCCCTGATGACATGGAAGCTGCCACCAAAGAACATAAACACAAATTATTTACAATAAGCAAGAGATTGCGTGGGAGATATACAGATGTTTGACAGCAGATAAGATTGATATGAGAAAAGGTTCAATGGATACAGGATGTTTATAATGAGCTTAGAAATGCTGCGGGCCAATGATATTTTATCTGAAAAAAGAAGCATTTTCTCTTCTTATTCTGTTTCTTTGGTATTCTTTCCCCACCACATAAACTTTGCAGAGTATTTTTGTATAGTTCGATCTAATCTTCCAGTTGCTACCTTTTGAATTGCTAACAACTATTGAAATGAGCAAGTGATACGAATCAACTTTCTGCCTTGAAAAAACCAAATTTGCTGATCTCTAAAGATCAAATAGTGTGGATGCTTGAAGATCAGAGATGAATGCTAACTAACAACTGTAGGAAACTACAGCTGATATGAACAACACTTGCTTGAAACTAATGTTGCTGTGCTGTTGATTAGAATTTACCCAAATGCATACATCTATTCATATTTATGATGAAAAGAACAAGACAAGACAAATAGACAAGAGTTCTTTTTCCCACCCTGGACATTCGACATATATATAAACCCCATTTTCCTAGTTTCCAACAGATTTCACAAGCTCTGAGGATGCCTGCCATAGATGCAGACGAAACATCAGGAGAGAATGCTTCTGGAGCATGGCCATACAGCCTGGAAAACTCACAACAACCAAGAACATGAAGGTTTAACTGAATGCAGGAGAAGCTAATAACTGTTAGATTCATTCATCTGAAACCAGTATTTCAACAGCTTAATTTTTAAAATCTGGGTTTTAATATATGTTTAGTAGGGCTGGGTAACCACGGAAACATTTGTTTCTAAACTCGATTCATTTCCAGGGGGCGCTAGCGTTTCCAAATTCTAAATACTTTTGAAATTTTGAGATTTCAAAATTTCATTATTTACGAAATTTCGTTAATTTCGAATAGATTCGTTAATGGCGACGCGATTGCGCAATATGCTAAAAAAACCTCCAAATGGGACAGGGGGAACTTCTGAAGCTTCCCTCTCCCTCTGTTGTTGACTGTTGGTGTGATAAAACAAACAACAACTATAAAACTTGCACCAGACATGCGAAAATAATTACGAAATAATTACGAAATAATTATGAAACAATTTCGAAACAATTTTGAACCAATTACGAAACAATTATGAAACAATATGAAATAAATTTGAAATTTTTTTTCGATTTTTAATTACTCCTCACACTATTCCTGCATGGCTCAATATCGAATCGTAAGCTAATTTAAATACGAATTAATAACGAATTACGAAATTAACAAACGAAACTGCCCAGCCCTAATGTTTAGCTATGTTACTTCTGAATCAGGGCTGCTACTGTTTTCCTCTTTATCTTTAGCAGGCATCTTACTTTATTCAATCATCTGAGGGCTGAATTAGGGTTGCCATTTCCCCTTTTCTGAGATCTTTAGGATCTGTAGGGTAGACAAGTACATGGGCACCTCCATACTAGGAACCATTGTGCTTATTGAATTTAACTGGTGATAATGGGTGAGCATTTTGTTTCAAAATCACTTTTTCAAAGGGCATTTTTGAAAAAATTGACCAGAACCTAAAAACATCTTCATATCTGGCACACAAAGAAGTTGAAAAAAGTGAAATGTGAAGTATACTCTGGTTTCTCTTCAGATCGTATAAAAAAAGTGAAATGTGTGAGCAATTGGAGCTGTCAAACATTCTGTGAAAAGTATTTGAATTTGCCTTACCTTTTTGTTCATTTAGAAATGTGCTTTCATTCATTGTTATTATGTCACTGCCCCTTTTAGAAAATTTGAACAAAACTATGGGAAAAGGGAGGGGGGAAAAACAGAAATCAGGACAATTGTCTTGGGTTTCTCTGAAACTATGGCAGCTCTCTTAGGCCTATGCAGAGTAGTTGATGAGTGGGTTGTCCTCAATAAAGCTGAATTCCTTAAGTACTTCTAAACTGAAGATTTACTTCCCTGTCCTGGTGAACAAACTTCACTTGCTGCTTTATCAACGTGCATAACGAACACACATAACCAGAGTCTGCAAGAGGTTTATTCCACTGGTAGGGAGAACACATATCTTTCACAGAGGACTTGCAGACCTCTTTTATGCCCTCTTAGGATTTGCCGCCTTTGTTCTTCTCCCCAATTTTTTGCTCCAAAGCTTTTTGCAGATTAAGGTTTAGGGCATTTTTCTGGAACCATCTTCCTGTTAAGAAGCATTAAAAACAGTTTGGATTTTTAAAAAACTATGGATCTATTTGCAAGCACTAGGATTGAAAGGTTGCTTTTAGAAAAGTTTGGGTCCTGGCCAATAAAGACAAAGGGTCAAGGCATCAAACGACAGATTTGTGTTTAGTGGTTTGAAGATAGAGGAAAACCAACAAGGTATGCAATCATTTGGATAAAAAACTGCCATAATTCTAACTAGTCATGGAGAATTCACATATGTTGTAGGATTATTATTCCCACCAATAATGACTGCACAAGATTCTTTAAATATGTGTACAAGCGTGTGGTGTGAGCTTTGCAAGCACTGAACTGGGTGAAATCCAAATGTTTAGATTATAATAATACTAAGTATTTATATATAGCTCTCTTTTCTGAGTGATCCATAGTATTATCTTTGTAATCCTTATAATAACCCTGTAAAGCATTGGGGTATTATTATTATCCCCATATTGCAGATTTGAGGGAAGGTACCTGACTGATACAGCATTTGCTTTTGGCCCCCTTTTCTTTGTTCTCCTCAAAATCTCCTCAAAATCTAGGGCTCCTTACCTAGATCATCAGTTTTCCTTCCATGCCAATGTTTAGGGTCCCGAATTGATCTTTTTAGCACATCTGGAGTATAGGAGTCCTTCATCAGACTTTTGCTTTCTAATGGTCCTCCTGCAAGAAAATATAAAGCCTTTAGAAAAAGAGTAAGCCTCTTGAGCTGTAATCATCTATGAACTGCATCCCAGGACATGGCCGGAGGAGAGAGATAAAAGAACCAGTCCTTCAAAATAGGAAAGAAGACATTCTGATGACAAATGTTATGAATAGTGATATGTCTTAGAAATTATCTAAACTCAATCATTTTTATTGTGGCCATATTTATATCAGGTGATTTTTTTTTAACAGAAAGTAATTATTTCCGATGTTTTAAAGTAGTAGCTCACTACAACTTAATTGACTATGGGAGGAGGAACCATTTTGCCCTGCTATCCAAGACTTTGAATAGCACTTTAGATCTGATACCTTTTCCTCAAAGTGATCACAGTAGTGACTGTATTGATTAGTAAGGTTCAGTCTGATAAAGTGTGACAACTTTTCCTTATAAGTTATTAGAGTAAAACATTCAGAAATGAAACATGCAAAGATGTATAACAATTAAATCAGCATTTCTCAACCTGGGGGTCAGGATCCCTCATGGGGTCCTGAGGGGGTTTCAGAAGGGTCACCAAAGATCATCAGAAAACATGTATTTCTGATGGTCTTAGGAACCACTTTGGCAGAGAAGGCTGAAGATCTCTCC